TTCTAAAAACAGATCTTAAAATTTAAGATCAAGCAAGTTCGTGTTTGCTTATGTTCTAGAAATGATCAAGGCATATCCTACAAAGTCAAATTATTTTATGATCTATCTGTCCTAATATGATATTTCCCCAAGAATGTATTATGAGGCCACAATAAGGAAAAGATGGGGCCCACTGAATTAAATTATAAGTTTATGAGGCCAGGCCATATATGACACTCCTTTGAATACATTCCTCCACTATTTCAGTTAGTTATTGTTACAGTACTGCTGCCTAACGAGCAATCACAAAACTCACTATCATGAAACAATATGCATTTACTAAGCTTGTGAGTCTGTGAACTGCCTAGGCAGTGCTTCTGGTCTGGGCCAGGCTCAGCTGATCTCAGTAGCCTTGTTCCAGCCTGTATGTAGCTGCTGGGTCAGCTAGGTGCTGACTGGTTTATAATAGCCTTACTTTCATGTCTGATAGTCAGTTGAATGATGGATAGCAGTATAATTGACTCCTCCTCCAGCAGGCTAGCCTGAGCTTTTTCACATGCTGGCTGAGTAAGCTTCCAGCAGTGAGAGCAGAAGCACATAAGGCCTTTTGAGATCTAGGCTCAGAACTGTATACTGTCATTCTGGCACATTCTACTGGACAAAGCGAATCACAAGGCCTCCTTAAATTCAGGGAAATTAAAAATATATTGTATTCCTTGATGGGAGGAACTGCAAAGGCCATGACTACAGGGAGGCATGAAGAATTACTGTCATTTGTGCCATCAACCTAGTATTCCTACAGAAACTGCAGCTCAAATTCCACAAAGTAGAAACTCAACACATTTGAACCATGTACCAGAATATGGCAGTTACGCAGAATAGCACTGAATCCCAACAGAGAATGATCAAGGGCAAGCCCTGGTGTTTGGTAGAGGACCCCCTGAAGCTCAGGATTGTGGAGACAGACAATTAGGAGGGATCCAATCTGAAATTCCACAGGTGACCCAATCTCTCAATTCTTCTGGTTTGTATCAGATTTAAATCTGTTAAGAAAGAGGTTAGAAACTCTCCACAAGTCCAGGACTCATGAGTGTGGTTCAGATTGATTGCCAAAAGTGAAAAATCAGGAGATCTTACGTGAAAGTCTAGATTTCTGATTTCTCTTGGAAAACAAGAGTCTGGCAAGCATCAGCCAGAGCTGAGTTTCTGGTACCCCCTTTAGATGGAACACATCCTCCCACTGCTCCTAATACCTTGCATTCAGCCTGCTTCTCTTATTATCATGACTTGCCTACCCCCTAACCATCTGAATTTGTGGTCGTAGGAGTAGAATAGCTCTAGACTCTACTAGATGGATGCAGGGGCCTTTTTGGAAACAGAGCCAGACTTTGCCCTGCACACTTTTTGTATTTTCTTACAATGAACAAGTATAAGAAGAAAAAAATAAATAAAAATAAGGGGTCTGACTAGAAATGTAATAATAAATGCTATTTTTTATTAATTTATTAATACCTGAATGACTTCTTAGAGGAGCTAATATGATATTTAGTATACATTAAATTAATTTTGTTTACTTAACTAATTAAATTATTTTAATTTAGTAAAATACTTTAGAATACAATAAAATCTACCAGTAACCCATGATAAAAAGGAAGAGTCCACTAAATTATAATTTAGTCACAACTGGGTCAATTATTAAAAATTACTTAAAATAATTATTAAAATTAAATGAATATTATTGGGGTACTGTGACTTATAATAAGGAATATATTTGGTCTTCATCCCAGTTCCTGGCACAGAGCTCCTAAACACTTGGAATTTCCTAAATGATGACAGTGACCCGGGTGTCTTTTGTTATGTTAATGAGGCAGCTTTTCCAAAGCTCTTAGGTAATCTAAGTATGGGACCTAGTTACCCACAGAATCAACCAGATGGTAAGAATCTTGAAACTTTCCATCCCAACCCCCTGACCACTGAAGAGGAAAGGAGAGCCACTGAATACTGGGTACAGTGACTAATGGCCAATGATTTAATCAGTCGCACCTGTGTCATGAACCCTCCATAAAGAACACCCACAGGGCAGGGTTCAGGGAGCTTGCTGATTGGTGAACTCATGGAGATTTGAGGAGAGTGGTGTGCTCAGAGAAAGGGAAGCTCCATGCTTTGTCCCCATATTCCTATGCATCTCTTCCATCTGGCTGGTCTTCAGTTACATCCTTAAATAATATATCATGATCTAGTCAATAAAATGTTTGAGTTCTGTGAGCTGCTCTAGTAAATAAATCAAACCTAAGGAGGGGATCATTGGAACCTTAAATCTATAGCCAGTCAGTCAGAAGCCTGACTGGAGCTTGTCTTCTGAAGTGACGTAGGAGTGGGCAACAGTCTTCGAGGACTGAGGACCCAATGCTATCTCCAGGTGTAAATAGTGTCAGAGTTGAGTTCAGTTTTAAGACACTCATGTGGTATCACAGAGAATTGCTTGGTGGTCTGAGGAAAAAACACAACAGAATTGGGTGCAGATTCATCATTATTAAAATTATTGAAAATTATTAGATAATATTAATTTAAGTACTTGGCATTTTCTCAGGTTTCACATTTTCTTTTTCTAATGTGAATTTAAAAACAGAAACAGCACTATCAAATACCATGAGGTCTTGTCTACCAATGATCTAAGAGAAATTCATTGTGAGGTTACATACAATGTAACTGTAGCTCAAGGTCCCCTACTCTAATTTAAATGAAAATAGCAACCTGCTGTTTCCTAAACACAGGGACCCCACCCCCACCCCCCACCCCCGCTTTTCTCCCTTTCCCTACATTCCTTGAAAACAAAACTTTACTGCATTTGTTGCTGAGTTAAAATTGAGGCAAATTGATGATTAGGCCTTCATGGTGGTAAATGGAAACTGCCAAACACTTGGCTAAGGTTTCACTCATGCAAGAGTGTGACAGTGTAAAAGCCCCACTCCCTTCTAACTGATTGAGACACCTGGGAAAGAACTGCCATTGTCCTCTTGTCTCTGATGCTGGTGGTTCACCTGGAAAGTTTCAGCACTGAGGATGGGGCCAAGTGTGAAGGTGCCTTTGCTCTACAGAGCGTGTGAATCTCAGGACCCAGGGGTACCCTCATAGCACATTTCCTCCTTGGCTTATCAGAACTCATGGGCCCAGCACAACACATTCATAAATACTCCATATTTTATATTTGGGGAAAATAACTGACTTCCAGCACTCAGGCTGAGCCATTTTTATCAGGCACTTTTTGATGTGTGAAAAAAAAGCCCTTCAAAGAGACCCATAATCCATTAATTGAGACTCTTGGGGCCTGTTGTTTTTCAGAATTCATCATTTTTCTGATTTTAGACAGGTAATATACATATACCATGAGCATAGTACACCGGGGGGAGTCACCCTCATAATTAAATGTGACTAGAGTACCATGCACGGATATTCAAAGTGGGATAAATAAGGATTATAACTGGATTAATATCAGTTAATGTCACTGAGTTTGCCATACATTTATAAAAAACTTCTGGATTTCAGGACTTTGGAGGTTTTTGAGTTGCAGTTCAGGGATTATGGATTTATATTAAATAACTAAGTCTTGGCAAAATCTCTGTGGCATAGAGGCACGAGTAAAAAGGGGTGAACTAAAGAGGATGTTGTCCTCAAGCCGCTGACACTGTCCGGAATACAAGTGAGGAAAGAGGGTCAAGACCGAAGGGGGAGACGTCCTGAGCACTGGTCCATGGCCCAGGGCTCAGAGTGAGCACCAGAGCCCGCACTGAAGCTGCACGGGGGGATGGCGGGGAGCTCCTGCAGCCAGGATCCAGACCAAAAGTAGAATGGGGAGCTCAGAGTAGAGACAGGACAGGAGTATAAGCAGGGTGTCCACAGTGGGCCAGCTGCTCTGGCATCATCGGGGATCCTGAGGAACATAGTATCTTGGACCTTACCCAGATCTCCTGAATCAGAATCGAAGTCAAGATCCCAGCTGGCTCGTGTGTACCCTAAAGTTTGAGAAGCACAAAAAGAAATTCCTTACAGGTTTTAGGGGCGTATCTTAAGAAAAGATGCCTCAAGACTACTAAGAGGAGAAAAAGCACTCCAACATTCCTAAGATTATGATTGTGCTTACAATTCAATAAACAAAGAGGATTTTATTTAAAATGCAGGGTTTCAGCTGGACCCAGCTCAGCAGCGCTTCCCAGCAGACAGTGCTCGCCACTGGCCCCACCCCTCACCCATTTCCACAGAAGACAACCAGATTTTCCTGGATTTATGATCAGGGCCTCTATTTAAGTCTACATTTGATGAAAGGGTTCTGTGACTTTTGGAAGTCTGAAAAGTCTCCAGAGCATTCAACAGATGAGTTAGGAGAAAGTTTATAAGGTAGCTAAAACAGTTTACAAGGAAAATAAAATTAGAATGAGAAAATGAATCAAAATAAAGAGGTAATAAAAGAAGTCAAAACAGAAGTCAAAGTTGGTTACAGGAATATGTTTGGTTTGTAAAAATGCATCGAGCTCCTTTTTAGAAGTAATCAGAGTTGGCTTCCCAGCCTCTGGGTGCTTCCAGGCCCTTTGTAAAGCTCACATTTAGCTCCTCCATCTACTCCACTCGGCTTCTTCACTCTTCTCAACCCAATTCATGGAGACCTCGGCACTCCCAGCTATCAGTAACTTCCAGTCCCTACATTTAAGAACTTCAGATCACTGCATATTATTTCTGTGAACTTTTTCAAATGTGTGTGTGTATGTATGGATATATATATTTATATTATTGCAGGCCTTTAGCCCTATTATACCACATATTAACGTGACTCAGCTTTTAGCTATGAATAAGTGAAGTGTCCAACTAAACTCTGTTTTACATCTTCTCTATAGGTAATCAGTAGCTAATACTTTAGTTAATTTATTCCTCCCCATCTTTGTATATCTCTTTCAAAGAGTCTCTGCATGGGTGGGTATAGAAAACTAAATGACCTAAAATCATGCTCCTCTCTTGATGTCTCTCAGCTGCAGATGGAGCTAGAGCAAGAGTACCAAGACAAATTCAAAAGACTACCCCTGGAGATTTTGGAATTCGTGCAGGAAGCCATGAAAGGGAAGATCAGTGAAGACAGCAATCACAGTTCTGCACCCCCACCCCTCACCTCAGACCCTGGAAAACTGAACCACAAGCCTCCAACCAGGGAAGAGCCGGAAGGAGACAACCCAGGAAAAGAGTTTGATACTCCTCTGTGACTGATTGTTCCTGCCAGGCCGTCAGAACACGCATGGCCACTCAAACTCCATTGGACTCTCTCTTACTACAAGATCACTGCCCAGGAGCATCTTCCTGAGAAGCACCCCTTAGCTTAAAATCCACACCAAAGGGAGAGTTCCAGAAGGATCCATGTAGACATCCCCATGCCCAGCCTCCATGTGTTATATGGATACCACTGCAGGTCTACTAGTGGAGAGTGCATGTATGTGGGATTTTTGTTTTCTTTCCAATAGTAAATTCAAAGCAAGCAACTTCCAGGCTCCATGGCATTTAATGACAGACAGTGTCTTTGAAGAAAATCAAAGCTCTGTTGTAAATTATTTCAAAGTAATAGAAATAGTTTGAGAAATGCATAGCACTATTGAACACTATTGGACAACCCACTTTGAACATTATTTTTTCCTAACTGCCCCTCAGTGACCATATTTTCAAGTTAACGTGAATATTAAATTGTTTCATCCTTTGCTTTGCAGGCACTGGCGGCTTGCAGTTTGCTAATTTATTTATCATAGAGGCATCAGTGTATTGGTTGCTGACATGGCCTTATTAGAGACCATAGTGAGTCAAATAAGCTGCTTTTCTTTCTTGAAAAAAAATCACTTGATTGTATCCTTGCCCAGTGAAGCTATCCCAAGACTTGGCAATATGGCTCATACATATGGCTGCATAAGCAATTGGCCTCATACTTCCAGGCAGTGTGCTGTCTGAGTTGATACCTGCACTCGAAGTCTGGGTATTCATTGGTTGTTGGCCTGAAATGATTAAACAACTACGAAGAGTCTGTCTAGTTGAATAATAATAGGTATGAGCTAATGTATGTTGAGCAGAGATTCAATGACAGCGATTGGGTTTTAGTGGTTATTTTGCTTCCTGACATTTTTTTACGGCTCATTTGTTTTTAATATAGACATAAAGATTGAATATTTATCTAAAGAATACATAAACCCACACATAAATGATCTATATTATCTACGTGTGTATATGTGCACACTCAACTATGCAAGTGCACACACACACACATACACATTCATATGAGTGTAGATGTGTGCTTTTTAATTGGCAAAGGCTCAAATCTCTTCCATAAGACTTAAAAACAAATTCAGGGATAAACATATAGAGGAGAAAGTGGTCACACATCTAGAATATATGGCTATAAAATTACATTGAAAATTAAGAAACAATTGATGGAGCCATTGATGCAAGTTGAGGTAGATTTAGAACTTAGAATATGAATTTGATATATATTTTGCAGGATCAAAACTGGATTTTAAGTATCAGATTTTAAGCTTGTATTAATAGTCAGAATATACAAAAAAGTATAGGACAGCAATATGGACATATATCTTCCATATTTTTTAAGTTTGATTCAATTTTATTCTAACATTGAAAAAATCTTTCATTATATATTTACTATGTACATTTACTTCACTTAACTGTGTCTTTTTGTTAAGTTCCAATATTAGGTGACGTAAGAGAGATTATATCATGGTAAAACTGTTCAAAAATACGATTGGAAGGTCTTAAATAAGATAATTATTATATAGAGGAAAATATAATTTAGAGAGCAACACAAAGAAAATTGACGTAAGATGTTCACAGCTTTATTTTACTTTAAAGTAAAACTGATTGTAGGTTAGTAAAACATTTTAAAACAAAAAAAAATTGTGTTCTGAAATTTGTGTTTCAAGAATTTAATATTTTTATGGAAATTATTTTATTTAACTTTAAGCAATAACTAGGGATCACAATTAAGTTTTAATCCAAATAGAAGCTTAGTACAAATGTTAGGAAAAAGCATTTGATTAAAAAAAACTACATCTAGTGAGACAAAAGGGGAAAAATCCCATCCTCTTTGGAGATGATGATTGTATTTTGATCTGAAGGATTTGGAATGTTAATCAGATGTTTAATAAAACTTAACTTCCACTGAAAGAGAAATCTTTTGTAAATCATTCTACTTTTGCACTTTGAAAGGGAGTCATTAATCATAGGGAAACGAGAATGGTCAAAATTGAATGTTGCATTTTTATAAACAGAATTACAGACTGTCTAAAATTGTAGAAGAATGAACTAATAGTAGCATTCATAACCAAACACAATGATGATTCTTAGAGAACATTGTATCCCATTTTAGTCCAGAGATAGACTAAGGTTGAGAAACCTTGATTTACACAAAACTGTTTTGGTAGTTGGATTTCATTATCTTAGTGACTCTGGTCATTTTACAATATGTTTGTATTTGGCCATTTACTGTAATCACATTTTTATATCTGTACAGTGACACTTTTTGCAGTTGTGGGGTAGTGTGTAACACTGTCCATCTTGCATCATTGAAACTACTACAGTGATACTATCATTTAATAATATTAATGTTACTTGAAATAGACTAAGATAAAGAAAAAGGGTCTATATGGTGTGCAGTTTTGTGCCTTTATGTATTTGCCTTGTTCTTTGTTGAATGTGTGAAATTCTGTGCTGTGGTTTTTCCTATAACAGAGAGTAGAGCTGTGTATTAAATTAGACTGTGCCCCTCTGATACCTTCACACTACTGAGAATAACATGGTTTTGGCCATGTAAACCAATTTTTGAAGTTCTAAAGACATGCTGTATGTTTTTGGTTTTTAACATTTCATTTTAACATTTCAATATCGCCATACATTGATTGATACTCCTGTAATAGATAAGCAGTCATTAAATAACTCTGAAAGGACCATTGCTTGTATTACTTTGAATTTAATGTTGCGCTTGTGCACTGTATAAATATTGTTTCTGATGGATTGGACAATGTGACTTGCTTTTTCAGAAGAAAAAACAGAGGTAGGACAAGTATTTGAAGCTCTTAAAATGTACATATTTTGGTTCTTCTATCTCAAATTATTTAAAATGCATACTTCACATTTTTGTAATAATTCTATGCAATTTTGTGGCATGATGTTTCTTCCACTTGTAATTTTATGTGCTTTCATCACAAATCCAAAGGAAATAATAAAAATTTCTTAACACAAGCCAACTGTTATTTCTTGGCATCAGAGCCACCTTCCTTTGATGGGCAGGTTGGTGGGAGTGGGCATAATGCCAGTTCTTAGACACATCCTACCGACCTTAACAGAGCACATCTGTGCCTGTGCGGGACCTTGGAGGGCTGCAAGCTCGTGCCAGCAGGCATTACTGTCCTTGCTCAATCCAGAGGTGGCATTGGACTTGCCCATTACATCCATATTGGAGATTCCCCCCTTCCTTCTCTTTTCTTGGCTAAAGCTAAGAAAAGCAAAATAATTCAAGGTATTTTTACCATAATTGAAATGAAAAGAACTGGCCAAATGCTTGATGGAAGTTTTCTTATAAAACTGATTTTAAAAATCTGTAACATTGATTTAAAAAATATATATATGTGAATTATAAGAATGTCTCCTGGGTACCCCAAATCAGTGTTACAGTTACAGTGTTAATATGTTACAATTTAATCCAAAACCTAGTGGCTTTAAACAATAAGAACTATCACTTCTGTCTCACAGTTTTGTGGGTCAGGAATTTAGACAGGGCAGAGCACAGAGGGCATGTCTCTACTCCACAGGATCCAGGGACTCAACTGGAAGATTCAAAGGCTGGGGGCTGGAATCCTCTGAAGACTAATTTACTCACATGTCTGGTGGTTGATGATATATCAGCTGAGAGACTAGCTGGGAATCTGGGCTGGAACACTCACGTGTGCCCACCAAACATGGCCTGGGCTTCCTCCCAATATAGCAGCTGGATCTCCCCTGAGAAAGCAGGAGCTGTGTGTCAGAATTTTAATGACCAAGCCTCAACGTTACATGCTGCCACTTATGCTGGACCCCATTACTTGGTTCTGTCCCAAGCCCCATTCCAGATTCAAGGGAAGGGAACAGATATAGACCCTGTCTCACCTTGGGATCTGTGTGGGTCACACTGAAGAATATGAGGGATGGAATAAATACAGGCACAGCCATCTTTGGAAAGTGCAGTCTGCCACATACAGCATGTAGTCACGCTCACACCTGCTCTGCCTACCTCCTTTGTTTTCTACATCAGTGAACAAAAGCAGTATCAATTCAGTTGCCTGAGCCAAAGGGTTGGCATCATCCTTGACAGCTCCCTCTAGCTCAGACTCTTTCCAATGAATCACCAAGCCGACCCTGTGATAGCTCTCAATCTGTTCCCTTTCTGTCCCCTCTGTTGGTGCCTGAGCTCACACCACCATTCACTCCTAATTGTCAAGATTCTCCTGAATGGTCTCCATGCCTCTAGATCTAAATCATGTAACAATTTCACAAAAGGGTAGCTAGATAATCATATAAAAACAAAAATGGATTTGTAGCCTTTAATTGGCCCCTGTCCTAAGAATAAATTCTAAACCCCTAATAAACGTTCAAGATCTTCCATTATTTGGTTCCTACATAACTCTCTAGCTTTCTCTCTTAGTACTCTTCTCACACACTATATTCCAGCCTTATGGGCCATCTCACCTCTCAGGCTTTTAAATCATCTTCCCTCAACTACTCAGCTCCATTTCTGTTTCTCTTTCTCTTGAACCCCTCCTCCAAACACACACACACACACACACACACACACACACACACACACACATGCTCAGGTTCTCTCCTTTCCCTGCTAAATTCCTATTTATTTTTAGGTTTATAGCATAAATGTCACTTCCTCTGGGGAGTCTTCTTTGATACATCAAGTTTCTGTCAGGTGCCCCTCCTCTGTGCTCATTGTGTCCTATGTCAGTTATCTATTGCTGCATAACAAATATCACCAAACTTAGTGTCCTAAGCAACCATTTACTATTCATTGTGGATGTATGGACAGGTGGATAGCTTTGCTGATCTGAGCTGGACTGGTATGATCTCAACTGGGCTCGTCTAAACATCTGCAGCCAGCTATGAGTTAGCTGATCCTAGTTGGGCTCTGTCACATGTCTGGGACCTTGGCTGGAACTGAACTTACTTGGCTGCGCCTCATGGGATTTCTCACTCTCTACAAGGCTAGCAATGACTTCCTCACATGTCAGAGGCAGGATCTGTAGAACAAACGAAAGTGTTCAGGCCTCTTGAAGTCTAAACTCAGAACTGTCACACGCTTACTTCCACCACATTCTATTGGTGAAAGTAAGTCATAAGACCAGCGCTGGTAAAGAATAAAAGGACACTACAATATAATAGGGGAAAGGATATGGACACAGAGTGGTCTGTAAACCAGTCCACTAACACCTTATACATTCTTCCATACATAGAGTACATGCCAACCCTAATGTAACAGCTTTATTGAGCTATAATTCACATACCACAAAGCTCATCTTTTTAAAGTACACATTTCAGTGATTTTTAGTATAGTCAAAAGTTGCTCATCAATTACCACTCCATAATTCCAGCACATTTTCATATCCGCAAAATAAAACCCTATACTCATTAGCAGGCACTTCACATTTACCCTTTTCCACCTACCTCCCCTCCCTAGACCTCAGAGACCATTTATCTGTTTTCTGTCTGTGTGGCTTTGTCTGTTCTGGATAGGTCACAGAATTTTTATATAATATTTGGCCTTTTGTTTCTGTTTTTTTTCACCTAGCATAAAGTTTTCAAAGTTCATCCATGCATATCAGCATTTCATTCCTTTTAATGATTGAACAATATGCCATTGTATATATATTTCATTTATTCATTCATCACTTGATGAACATTTGGGTTGTTTCCACTTTTTGACTATTATGAATAATTCTGCTTGTACATTCATGTATAAGTTTTTGTGTGGAAATATGCTTTCAGTTCTCATGGATATATACATAGGAGTGGAGTTGCTGGTTCATATGGTAACTCTATCTTTAACTTTCTGAGTAACTGTCAAACAGCTTTCCAAAGTGGTTGCACCATTCTGAGCAACATATGAAGTTTCCAATTTCTCCACATCCTTGCTAATAACTGTTGCTTTCTATCTTTTTTATTATTGCCATCCTAATGGATGTGAAATAGCATCTCATTGTAGTTTTGATTTGCATTTCCCTAATGACTAATGATGTGGATCTTGACCATATGTATGTCTTCTTTGGAGAAATGTCTATTAAAACCCCTTGCCCATATTTTAATTGGGTGGATACCTATTTTAAAATCTGAGTCCCCTTTCTTGATTTTTGCCCGCCAGTCTCTTTGTGCCTGTCCATCCCAAAACTCTGTCTTGGGAAGGCTATTATTCAATTACTTATTTATTATTCTTCCCTGGGCCGCTGAATAGCTGGAGGTTATTTGGAAAATGGTGCTGGTTATTTTTTATGTGACTCTAAAAAGTCACTTGTCTGTTTCTTTTTTAGTAAATGTCAAGTATTTGTTTATTTTTCCAGATGTCTCTCTTCCTCCTAAAAACATGGTGTAAAGTAAATGTGATAAATGTTGATTGGATTCACTGGAATCAAGTGAATTTCCTACAGAAAGAAATTCATTACGGGCAAGTAAAGATTTGAATGTTTCCATGGAAATACTTGCTGCATGGCCTTTAAAAGTTTAAGTGAATTACCTAACATGTTATCAAACTTATGCTGTCAAGAAGTTTGATGTGCCAGTTAGAAATGTATCAGTAACAAGGAAAAAGAATCTTGCCAATTAAACTGACTTTTCTTCAAACATAAAGGCACATCTCAATTTCAGAAAGGTTAAAAGTAAAAATGTTATCTTAGAATGAATGAAATATCATAATTTTCTTTCTTTTTTAAATTTCAAATAGCTATTTTATAATAACTAAGATTGTACATAATTTATTTTAAACCAATAGAAAGTCCAATCTCCAGAAGGCATTGTATTCAAAGTAACACTAGTCCAAGACTAAAAAATAATTGAAAAGGAAAGATAAATTTGTAATGAAATCTCCATAAAGATTTGATTCATAACATACTACAAAGTCTCTTAAATCTGCTTTCTCCATCTTCTCCCTCTGTATGTCATTGTTGTAGTAAAGGACAAATCCCCCCAAATCTCCCTCAAACCCCAGTGTAAGCAGCCTCTTACCTTCTCTCTCCCTCACTTTCATCTCTGGATTTATCATATTTTCTTTAACCATCTTTAACCTTTTTAGTAATCCTCTAACCTTTCAAAGTAAGATTATTCTATCTTTCCTGAATGTTCTAGTGTTGCCTAATTCATCCCCCAAAGGCTCACAAGCTAAGCCAGCAAGAACAGAATTTTTCTTTTACTGGGAAAGACTACAAATACTGCTATGTCAACATTTTTCCAGGAGCACATTCAGTCAACACATATTTAGCAAACAGCTGCCATGTTCCAGGGACTAGTTTTGCCTCAGTCAGGTTAGAAGACCAGGTTTCTTGGTTACAATTGTGCCCAGATAAGTATATCTTTAAGGCTACTCTCTGCAAATGAATCATATTGCATGTCTCTACCCCAATACAGTTAAAAGGAAAGGTCTATTTCCCTTTTATTATGGCTGTGCTATTACCACACATGTGAATGAGAACATGTGTGAGCACATGCACACACACACACACATGTACATACACACACATACACACAGTCTGGGACAGAGGGTCTTCAGCATCAAATGACACTGAACATGCTTTTATCCTCCAGGAAACTTATCTGCAGCAAAGGGCAACCCCAACCTTTTGAACGTAGGATATGGTCAATACGGAGAAAAGTTTCTGAGTTCAGGTGGTTTATTTGGGAGATAATTTGTACTGAAATCCTTGTTTAAAATGTCAAAGTACGATTTGATTCACAATACACAACACAGCCTGTTAAAAATGCTTTTCCCATTTTTTTCTTTCCCTATGTATGATTATCGCACATAAGATATCTGCCCCCAAAACATCTCTCAGTTCCCACTTGGTTTATTCTATGTCCTTTCTTTCTTTATTTCATCTTGTTTCAGTGAGACAAAGGTGTGAGGAAAGCCACGGGAAGTTATTTCGATGAGCAGATTATCACCGTTGAGCAACTGTACTCCTACAGAAAGACCCTCAGAAAGACTTTGG